ACATGGACATCAACATGGCATTTGATGCAGTACTCTTTAATCGCCAGCGTAGCTTCATTTTTTCCTCTGAATTGCACCCCAACTGAAAATTCACCAGAATTATCGAATGATTCAGTCATTTGGTACGGAGGTAAATGTGGCATGTCTGGGAATTCAGGTGCCCTCATTGCATCATAGTCTATCTCGTACATGTGAGGAGTAGCTTCATACGGTGCCGAAACTTCATCAATTGCACCTCCACCAAAAATATTTTCGTCGTCGCCCAAAACGGGTTCTTCGGTTTCTTCATCTTCGCTTGAATCATCGTGAATTTCTCCCCATCGATTTTCAGCGTCAATATTAACAACCAATTTCGATATGTTTCTCGTCTCATACTCTGCTGTTGCAGATGTCCCGCCGACTTCATTTACACTTTCCAATAGTGCCATAAAACTGTTCGGGAACCTGTACGTCGGCTCCTCAAACTGACTATATAAAGCCATTTCAGATGGATTTTGAGCCACACCTCTTGATGACCCATGAACATCACATATGTTACACATCAACAAATAACTCAATAACTGCTATATTGGTTGACTCATGCAATCCAACCATGGTTCCAATATCATCATCTTCTTCAAGTGGAACTGCAGCATATCTGACTGGGTTGGGGCATATCATAAACCTATACCTCAAACCATCAACTGCAGCTCGAATTTTTCTTTCTATCTTATGCTTCATTTCTATAAATGTGATGTCTTTTTTGAACATCATATTTATTGGTTTTTCAGACTGAAAAGCTACTCCGACCTCATTTTCCATAATCTGTCCATTATAATGGACAATCGTGAAAAAGTTGTTGCTCATTTTCTCTACAAATAAAAAAATAAATTAATTTAGATTAAAATATTATATAAGATAATTTCATAAAACATTAAATCATTAAAATATATAATATACTATTATATTATATTAATGATCAAATAAATTTGTTATTTTAACTTGATTAATTGATTAATTACTAATATTATAATGATTTAATAATTATTATTAATCTAATGATTTGATATTTAATGATTTAATAATAATATGATTTAGTCATGATTACTAATAATTATTTATTATAAATATTTAATGATTTAGATTTGATACTAATTATTTAGTTATTATTACTAATAATCATGATTAGTTTGATAATTTTTTTATTTTTTAAAAATATCAAACAAATTTGTTAGGCAAAATATCGTAATAATTCGTTGGCCGGATTATTTCATTCAATTAATTTTTACTCCTTACTAATTTACACATACAATATAAATAAAACAAAATATTTTTTTAAACAACACTAAATATTTTTAAACACAATATAATTTTTAAACAAAAATTATCTCGCACAAATTAGTTTATATAATCTAATATAAACTTACTATCTAACTAATTTACACATACACAACAACAAAAATAGACAACAAAAATAATAAATTACTCACGTATTTATGCCTTCCTCCTTTCCTTTCTTTTCCTTCTTTGTTTCTTTATTCGAATCAATTTCAACATGGGCAAATGTTGTGGAATAATGCCCTGTATGTGTAAACCGTTTAATTTATTTAAACAGCAATAACTCCCACAAATTAATTTTATATAATCTAATATATTATAATATAACTTAAACTAATAAACTATTTCTTTATTATAATATAACTTAGTTAAAATAACACACTAATTAAGCACTAATTAATTTTTTTATAATATAACTTCAACTTCAATGAACAATCTAATATATGTTTAAAGACACTAACAAATTAATTAATATTTTTATACTTAATAACTTAAACTAATTAACTAATTAACTAATTTTTTATATAATATAATATATAACTTAAACTAACCAACTAATAATTTATACTAACAAACTAATTAACTAGATTTTAGTTTTACCCTAAACCCTAAACTAACAAACTAATAATTCATATAATAAACTAAATTAAACAATAAAAAATTACCTCACAAACTATGTTTGATCCTTTATCTTATTTTCTTCTTCTTCCTTTTCCTTCTCTCGGCAAAGTTTATACGTGCTTATGCTTATACTCCTGGTTGTTCTTCTCCTTCTATCCTAAACCCCATATCATTTATATAAAGCAAAAATCGTTGTACAAAGTCTTTAAAATTTGACTATTGAATAAAATATTATTAGGATTGAATCGTATAACTATTGAGCATTGAAAGTCTTCAATTGAACAGCAATATTTGCTGTATTTAACAGCTAAATTAACGCTGCCATCATACAGCTATGGATGCAACGCATGCAGCTACGGATGCAGGAATCTCCCAGCTAGCTATGGATGCAACGCATGCATGAGTGATACAGTTAAAGCTTGGTCGTTGCATGCATGAGTGCTACAGTTAAAGCTGGGTCGCGATGCAGGAATCTCCCTATGGAGACTCCATGGCGACCTACCACCTACCCTACCACCTACCATGTCGTCGGGACTCCATGGCGACCTACCATGTCGCGATGTCGCCGGCAACCTAGAACCGATCCTTGGTCGCCCCGAGTGCCCCATGCATGAACTGATCCTTGGTCATCCTTGGTGCATGGCCCATGCAGAGGTTTGCCGAGATCAGACCACGTGAACAAAGCGCATGCGACCTATCCCATGCCTCGTGCATGGCCCATGCATAGCACCAAAGCAGCATCAGCGAGCAACAACGGCCACCAAAGCAGCAAATAATGATGGACGAGCAACAGCGGCCACCAACAGCGGCCACCCCAAAGCAGCGGCCACAACAGCGGCCACCCCAAGCAAATAACTTATAGGACGCCGGGCGTGCATGGCGTCCTTATAGGACGCCGGGCGTGCATGGCGACCTATAAGGACGCTGTGCGTGCATGGCGACCTATAAGGACGCCGGGCGTGCATGGCGACCTATGTTGCCACTGTAGAATTCACCCCATTCGAGCAATTAATCTGCCTAGTGCATCATCTCGTAAAATATTTTTTTTGAATCCATTATGTCGTGAGTTTTGCCGGTAAAAAACACTTGCACCGACATATGCGTAAAGTTCGAAAGGTGGGGCATAGCGAAGGCCTTACACCCTGTTAAATTCAGTCGTTGAACCAACTTTAGTGGGTTTGGACAATCCGATTACGCGCATCCGTCGGAGCGGCGGCTAGCTGTAGCTTGTATGAGATGACCATGAATGAGATGTGTTCCAAAGGACGGATGGGACCTTTAGCATTATTTGTTTCATATGGAATTCAATGGCCACAAATTTTGTGAAGCTGACAGTGAAGACAGATTATTGGATGCGTGCCTTATATTTGTGACACTTGGATTAATATAAATGGTGGATTGCCCATACCCTTTGAAACATCATCGATGTTGCACATGCTTTTGCTCCCTATATTATGTTATATGCTAATCAACAATTTGCTCCTCAATTATTGGGATTAATTTTAATTTTCTAAATTCATTAAATTAGGTTTAAATAATTATTTTTCCAATTCGCCATTAACGAACTACAGTTCTGCTGGAGGAGTTCTTCGGATTGCGGCGGGTCTTGGATCTTGGGATTTCAACGTTACAGGGGTTGCTGTACTTCACTTGAGTCTGAGCTTTGGGGAATATACACAGGCCTTAATATTGCATAGAATCTTGATTATGGGAAGGTCGTTATTCAGTCTGATTGCATTGAATCTATAAAGCTTGTTGAACCTGTCCCTAGCGATACAAGTCATTGTTCGCTGGTTAGGGCTACTGCTAATATTCGAGGACGACACTGGGAAACGCTTGTTCAGTGAATTCCCCGTGAAGCAAACATGATAGCGGATGTTCTCGCCAAATCAAGAACCTCAGATGCTGCCGGTGTTACCTTACTTCACGTCGCTCCATCGTTGATTCAACATCTTATTGTCAGGGACATAAAAGGTCCTCCGAGCTTAATGTAATTTTTATCCTCTTTCAATTCAATTTTTTTTTTATAATTGTTCAATAAATTTAATGATTATTTTGTAACTTTCAAAATTTTAACACTAAAATATCATATTTAACATAATTCAATAACCACACTTTGACTTTACCCTAAAAATATTAATATGACATTTTCATCTTTTTTTCCTTCCAGAATAATGCATCGAGTTCCAAACATTCAAAACCCTGCATTTGTATTTGTTTTTGGAAAGAATAAAACCCTAAATAATAAATTAAATTACATCAAGATGTTAGTTGAGGAGCGAATTAGTACGAGGGGCTTAGGTGATTCTTAGGTTTATTATTAAACTAAATATATACTCGATATAATACATAAATAATTTGTACTTTAAATTCTTCTACAAATGATAATATATGCGTAAACACACTCAAATCCATAATTTTCTCAGTTATTACAACAATTATACCAATTAAGTTAATATTTTATTAACTACAAAAATTAAAACGTTAATAATTCCTACTCTATACATGGAAAAATATTTCATTTTTGTGTTATTAACAAAAAGGACCATAAATTTGAATAGTTCAAAAACGGAGCAATAATTAAGGATCGGATCTCAACTGTGACGGTATGTAGGTCTAGACATCATCGGCATACGGCGGATGAGGTTTATTTCTCGTAATCAGATTCAAGGTGGAGGACCATTACGTCGAACACTTTTATTTCTGTCATGATTATGGTTTTCAAGGTTATACTTTAGTTAGGCTTGTTCACAAATGGCGTGAACACTTGTAGGATTAGTTAAACTCTGATACACAGTTGATTCATCACTCTTTTCTAACACTAATAACAGAGGTATAAACTAACATCTGATTAGTTTAACTTTGACAACAGCTGATGGTAATGTGAATCGAATTCAAACAATATGAAAAAACAAACACAGCCAAACACTTTAGTTTCTGTCATGATTATGGCGTTCTCGATTATGGTTAGGGATTTGCTTGAAACAAGGTATGGATAACACTTCAAACCGTATGGAAAATAACACATTCATTCATTCACATAAACCAAAAGACACAAACTTAAAACGGTTTCTACATTACGGGAATCAAAATAAAAGACCGAAGTCATGATGGAGAAACCAAATCAAAATTAAAGAGATTATGATCACTGCTTCTTCAAGAGCAAAGGGCCAACGTTGTCCCCTGTAGCCTTGTTGTGTTTCACATGGCTTCCATCGCAAAGAGGGAAAGTACCAGACCTCCAACATCTAAGTTTAAACAAAGTGCAAAAACCAAATAAACAAACCTTCAAGAGAGAAAAATTAAATATATAAAACAGAGAGAACCAACCTGCAATAAGGGGTAAGCGGCTTGGAGAGTTCTGAGACGACGACTGAGTCAACCACTTTCTCCTCAGTCTTTCTAATTTCTGGATTTATGGTTTGTCCCTCAGCCCTGACCACCAAAGCCGATGATGGCCGAGGCCTTGGATTGATGGTAGCGACACCAAAAGCGAGTCTTGGCTTGGGGTTCATCCCCAAAGCAGTTGTGGATACGTTTTGGCAGATGCCAGACCCGAATGTGCTCATAGTGGACGCCACTGAAAGTGTTTTTCAGACTGCGTTGGATTGCTTTAGAGAAATCTGGAATTGCGTTAGCAGATGAGAGATGAGAGGGGTTATCTTTTGGGGATCGAAAGTAGGTGACGAACTTGTGGTGAACACGCACTCCCTAAATGCTGTGATTGCAAGTAGTGACACGTTGTTTTGTACGGGTTCTTAAAAATCTTACCTTTTGTTATTGAATTTACTGAATTACCTTTTATATGCTTGGTACCCGGTGCTATTCCCACTGTAAAATCTCGAAAAAATCAATTTTTTTATTAAAATATATAAAATCATAAAATAATTTATAAATACAAAAGTAAAATTTATCAATATTCAGAAATAAAACAGAGTTCAGACTCGTATATAAAATATAATACAACCTACATGCCCCCTAATCACATGCACCGTACTCTCCAAGCAACGCCGGCGAAACTTCTTTATCGATCCAAACATCTACAGGTTTTCGGAATGAGTTGAGGTTCCATGGATATTTCAGGTAGTAAAAGACATAAAACTTTCCGTTCAGAGTAAACGTTCGGAGGACTAGGTTCAGGAGATTAGAACAGGGTGTCTAGTGTGTTCCCACAAATCTAGTGAAAATATACAGATCTTTTTAAAACAGTAGCAGTTTAAAACTTATTTTTAAAAACCATAGTAAAACCCTCCAACCGAAAGCCATATGCAGTTCCCCAGAACTGCATCCATAAGGACTTACCCTAGGCCCAAAAGGGCGTATGAGCCAATCTAAGGGAACACCTTGGGTCCATAAGGCCTTACCCTAGCAACATAGGTGCCCACCTGAGGGGAGTGCCCTCATGTCCATAAGGTCTTGCCCAAAAGCACATAACAATGGTGCCATCCCTAAGGGAGTGCCTTAGGGTCCATAAGGTCTTACCACTAGACCTATTAGGCCCAGGAGCCCATCCAAAGTGTCGCCTTAGGTCCATAAGGAATTACCAGTCGTTGTTGAACCTATACAAGGAATTACCAACAACGATTGAACCTGCCAATATCTTCAGTCATACCAGAGTCCCAGAGTACCTCGTATAAAAATAATTTCAATCAGTAAAATAGAGATATCAGTAATATGAGCAGAGATCAGAGATTAGACTTATTCCAGATAAAAGAGTCATACTTTTAAAATCATAGAAAACATCCATGATGATCAGGGAACACACTAGAGGTTCCAGATATTATTCAGAGGTGATTGATATTTTTCAAATAGAGAGTCATGAAACTTTTGTAAACTGATTAAATTCAGAAACGAGATCCCCATAAAAGGGTTTGATAGTTGACAGATTCATCAGTTATTCAGAACTTAATTTATCAGGATTATATAGTATTCGAATATTTTTCAGAGGCACTATGTAATCAGAAAAGGGTATTCAAAATCTTTTGCATCAGCTCGTGTTTTCATATATGACAAGAGTAATTTCATTATCCAGGAAATCAGAGGCATTTTTGGGTATTAGGTTCTTAGAGAATTCTTAGTGATTTGAGCTAATAAGGGAGAAACGAAGATTCAGGGCATTTACGATTTGTGTCAATCTATCAGAATATAGAGTTAACTCGAACTGTACAAGTCTCGTCAATGATACCTGTCAACCGATCAATTTGTTGCACTTCTAGAGTATTCACTTTTAATAAAAACAATTCTTATCGAATTGATCATCTTCAGAATCATCGCGGAATGGATCTTAGGGAGACGAATATGTATTCTAATGGTCTTTATTCCAATTCGGCATTGCAACGCTATTAAGAATTGTCGACGTGCTTGATTCATGGTTTCAAACCCTTATAGACAGTACAACTTATAAGATCATCAATGTTCCAGACTTATCCAAGTTATTCATTTTAATTCAATTATTATTCAAGTTATCTCGGTCGCTTAGAAGTTTCCTGAGTAATTCGGTCGTTTCCGCAAATTTGATTACATACATTACTTCCATTCCGTTTAACTTGGTCATATAATATACGAGGTTGATTTGTTCATTTCAGAGTTGAGGGTAATTAATTATTCCAGATCTTGGACGTGCTTTGAATCATATTACACTTCAGGGGCATTCCAACTAAATTAGGAATTTACTCGGTAATTCCAATATTCAAGTGGATCATAATTTAAGTTCTCAAGTAGTTTTCATTATCATATTCATCCATAGTCCTTTTTACTCTTTAAATGTATTATCGTCCTTTCATTCAATTCTGTCAGTGGCATTACTTCTGATAACTTAGGCTTGAAAGTATTCTAGTTCCTTTAGAGTTCAGAGTACTTTTCTCATTTACTCACTAGAGGTTAAATTTACCACTAGGGGAAGTCTTGATCCTTTTTCAGTACAAGGGCATTTTTTTAATTTTATCTCATGGTGTTATTTTTGATAAATTTCTTTCTAAAATATTTCCAACATTTAACCTTTAAGGATATTAATAAGAATTTACGCGTTTTGAGATTTATTGATTTACTGATTGAATCTTTGAATTGAGATTTGTTTCTGATCGATCTACCAATTTCTTTTACGAGCCGTCTAAGTCATATATGGTGTTCCATCTTTAATCGAATTTCCATATGAGTCCATAGATAGTTAACTACCCAAATGAACCGATCATTTCCATTCATACATTTACCATTTTATCAGTGAGTTTCGAAAATCATATAAAAGGTAGTAAAGTATTACCTCGGATTTTGTGTCATATTGATTGACCATTTAAACTCCATTCTATCTTCCTCGAACTTTAATTCAATGTCCAATAATTCTTCGGAAACATAGCAAACAAATTTACGTCAAAACTGAACTTAAATGAGAAACCAACTTGAATCCGAAGATAAAACATTGAAGAACGGCTTACCGGGTGCGAATTTGGTAAAACAGACTTCGGATTCAGACTCAGGACGTATAAAAATATAAAATAGGGTTTTTTTGGAAAATTTGACTTTTTCGGCAAAGTCAACGGTCATACCAGTCAAAGTCAACAGTTATGCCGATCAAAGTCAACAATCAACGTGTTGACTCGGTCAAAGTCAACGAATTGACCCAGTGAGTTGACCAGTGATTGAACCGAACCAGTCGGATCGGATCAGACAGGCGGGTCGACCTGGTTCTGGAAAATTCCTTCGTGGTGGCGCGTGCAACGATGACAGAGGTCGAGGGTCGGTCGATTTCTCCAACTGCTTCGAAACATCCAAACAACACCATTTAATCCAATCTAGGCCAAAATTGAATTTAAAACTAATTAAGAAGGTGACCGACGACTTATTCTCGATGACCGAACGGAGGAGCGATGGAGGAACGACGAACTTACTTGGGTTTTGACCGGAATCGCGAGGGGGATACACCGATGTGGGCGGTGCATCTAACCGACACCTAGAACGGCCGGAAAGGTCGAAAAATCCGAGGGGTATCGGGAATGGGTTCGGCGAAGCATCGAGCATCTCTCACGGTGAACGTTGAGACCAACCGGAGAGGGGTTAGTTCGCGACGACCAGGCGCGCCAATTGATCTTAGCGGTGTCGAGCACCGTCAGCCAGAGGAGGCTGGTCGAAGTTGGTTTGGGAAAGGGGCGAAAGGGAGGCTTGGGTTCTTGGGCATTTTCGAGTATCACCGATGGGGTTATTTTTCACTACCCAACAAAAATGGGATAATTCAGGTTCAAGTCCTTGAATTTTCCACAAGTTCTAAAACGAACTGAAACTTTGAAAATTTTACAATTTGGTCCTCAATTTCTCCCTTGATACGACTTTAATTCGATACTTTAAAATTAATAAATTTTAGCCCCTAAATTGGGGTGTAACAGAAAAAACATTCGGTTTTTTACCACGAGAGGAGGAGTTTATGTTTAAATCTTGTATAAAAAGTTTCAATACCACTTAATCATCAAAATTACCTCCAAATGGTTTGGTTTCTTTATAGTCGATTACACTGATGATATTTTGGACCATTTGGACTCTGAGTCGTGACTGGGGACACATAGATGAACCTTGAGCCCAAATTTGAATGGCTTGTTTAGGTTTAGCAGCCCACATTCAAGTTTGATCACTTTGAAGCTCAAGATTGATCTGTAAGAGTTTTTCATCCACTTTACTTCATTCTACGTATATTCCAGTTTGTTTCTGATTGTCTTTAAATGATTTCGAGGGTTGTGGTAGCTTATATGATTTCTGGCTTCATCGCATTCGTAGCTATGACCGTGCTTGTGATTTATAACTCCAACCAGCACAAGCTGAGGTAGAAGCAATGGCAGTTGCATAGCTACAATGCTTGAAGAAGTGGCAGTTGCATAGCTGCTTGTACAAGCAGTTTCCGATGAAGGTACAAGACAGTTTGGCAAGAGCTTAAGGGTATTATTTTAAACGCAAATTGTAGCCTTATGGCATGAATGTTGGGATCTGGTCCATCCTTTACTTATGATGAACATCCCCACCCTCGAATTCTGAGTTCCCATCTTCCCATTACAGATTTTGTCCAACTTATTACCAACATCCTTCACCGGCAATGCCATTTCTGGCCTCAAGTTGAAAAATCTCTCTTAGTTCCCACAATTGGAAATGTAACTTTAACTTTTCACAACCGTACAAGATGGTATTAATAATTCACATGAAAGATCCAACGAAGCAAGGGTTACGCTGCTTCAGCCCCTGGTGGACGCTCGCAATCAAATTTGTATGTCCCATGGAAATTGGAATTGGTCCAGATATATCTTTGCCGGTTGGCTGGCTTTCAACTTTTAGTATTAAATAACCCCAAAAAGTAACTCATCCATTTCAACTATAATATTTATATCCATAAAGCAAGCAAAAAGAATTCATGGAATGGGGGGTGGGGCAAATGTGTATCATAAGATGCGCATCACATCTCATCTCTTTAACACTGCTATTATTGAAATAAATCTTAATTGTATTTAAAATACGAGAGAAAAGGTGGCAACATTTACGAGAAAACTTAACTAGCCATATGTGAAACTATGAGTTGTATAACTAACAAAGTACATATATAAAAAGACACGAACAAAATGGTCCATAGAGATATATGTGTATTAGAATAATGGAGTCATTTTCATAGTTTAAGCTTAGCTACATCCGAATATA